CCTGCAGCACCTGGTGTAGATCTTCTGGATCAGAGTCCAACTGGCCGCCCAACATCAGATAGAGCTGGGTGTCATCTGCATATTGATGACACCCAAGCCCATACCGCCGGACAATCTGGGCGAGGGGGTGCATATAGATATTAAAGAGCATAGGGGAGAGAATGCCCCCTGAGGCACCCCGCATTCAAGCAGGTGCCTCCGGGACCGCTGCTCCCCAAATTCCACCCTCTGTCCCCGACCTTGGAGGAAAGAGACAAGCCATTGAAGGGCAAGCCCCTGAATCCCCACGTCGGCAAGGCAACTGGTGGTCGACCGTATCAAATGCGGCCGACAGGTCGAGCAACAACAGTGCCGCCACACCGCCTCGATCCAGATGTCTCCGGAGGTCGTCAGTAAGGGCAACCAGTACAGTCTCTGCTCCATGCCCAGGGCGAAAGCCGGACTGGAATGGGTCGAGGGCGGAAGTGTAATCTAGGAAGCCCTGCAACTGTGTCGCCACCGCCCTCTCGATCAATTTGCCCAAATAGGGCAAATTGGACACCGGTCGGTAGCTGGCCAATTCCGCCGGGTCCAACGTTGGCTTTTTCAAGAGAGGGCGGACCATCGCTTCCTTAAGTGCCTCGGGGAACTGCCCCTCTGACAGGGACTTGTTGATTATCTCCCTCAAGGCACCTCGACACCCCTCGTGGCCCGCTTTAATGAGCCAGGAGGGGCACGGATCCAGGCTGCAAGTGGTTGGGCGCACAGCTGCGAGCACCCTATCGACTTCCTCCAAGCTGAGTCGATCAAAGCTTTCCAAACCCGGCGAAGCCGCGCAAGGGGCCTCGAGTTCGCATACTGTCTCAACTGTTACGGGGAGGTCGCGGCGGAGCATCAAGACTTTATCCGCAAAATAGCTCGCAAAAGCCTCACAGCCAATATCCAATTCCCTACTATTTTGTCTGCCCTGAGGCAGAGTTGTCAATGATCGAATCGTCCTAAATAATTGGGCCGGGCGAGAGCTAGCGGACGCAACCCTGGCTGCGTAGAAATCTCTCTTCGCAGCCTTGACTGCCATCTTGTAGGATCTCATAAACGTCCTATAAGATGCTCTTGTAGCCTCGTCGCGAGCTCGGCGCCACCGTCTCTCTAGCCGTCTGAGCTTCTGTTTCATAAGCCGCAACCCCTGGGTATACCAGGGGGCAAGCCTAGAGCGAGGGCGCAGAGGGCGCCGGGGAGCGATCACGTCGATGGCCGTGGCAAATCAGCTATGCCAATCTTCCACAAGCTCATCTAACTAACCGTCAGGGGGCATTGGGTCCCGCAGAGCCATCTGAAGCCGCATCGGGTCCATCAAGCTCCGTGGGCGAGCTAAAATCTGCTCGCCGCCTAAACAGGGTCGGGGCAGGACACTTACACGAGCCTTCAGGGCATAGTGGTCCGACCATGGTACCTCCATTGTGGTAATCCGGTCCACTATACTCCCCGCCGCGAAGATCAGATCGAGCGTGTGCCCGGCCTGATGCCCGATGCTTGCTTAAATAAGCAAGCAAGCAAGCAAACCTGTCAGGCCTACACGTTATGAACATGGTAAACCTCAGAAGTACCAAGTGCAAATCCACTCACTATTTAGGGCTATTTTTTAATGAAGAACATTATTCTAGTGAACAAATTTCATAAACATACAACTCTTATTCCAATGATTTTCAACGGAATCCTATTTTACTTCCCACTACTCAGGTTGAGAACACATTCTGTCCACATGTGCAATATGTCTTTCCCCCCATGTTCTCTAAACAGGATCTAACAATAAGCCATCCAAAGACGAACACAATTGACATTACTACATTATAGCAGAAAGCTATATAAGTGCATTAAAATTGCATGAGCAAGAACAGGCAATCAGTGCACCTACCTTGTTAATGTGCAGCTGCTGCTGCTGAAATTGCTGTTTGTGTTTTTCTAAGAACTGCTGATGTTGTTGTTGAATCACTAATTGCTGTAAGGCCTGCGCATTCTGGGGAAGAGGAGCAGACTGTGTACGGCCCAGAGGGCGATGTTGCCGCAGTTTGTGTATGGAGGGAGAGAGCCGATCCGCGCCCACCAGGGATTGCGCATGGAGGGGGAGTGCCCCTAGTCCTGAAAGATACCAGTCTGAAGATAATATGGAGGAAAAACAGCAGAGGAAAAAAAAAGGAAGAGGAGAAGGAGAAAACAGCTTTTGAGTAAATCTCATGGTGACAGTAATGTGCCATGAAACCAGCCACGTTTTCATTTTGTTCTAGCAAAAACCTTTAAAAATAAAAGTGCCTTCTGATAATGAATGTTTTATTTGTACACATACCCACACACATTGAAATATGAGTGAGAAAGAACACGATTCCACGTTCAAAGCTCGCATGAAATTTAGATATGAAGCTGAAAACACAGTCCTTGATTGGGATTCAGCTATACCTAGGTATTAATACAAATGTCAAATGGGAGCTGGGCTGTATGAAATGAGGACAACTTTAATAGTGGGTTTTGGTCACTGTGTGACACAGAATGTTGGACTGGATGGGCCATTGGCCTGATTCAACATGGCTTCTGTTATGTACTTGATCCCAAATATCGGCAATCAGCATATTTTTGCCTTAGTGTAGAGAAATAAATGCAACTGGTTTGCAATGACATGTCTGTTCTTCATCTCTGGCACAGATAAATCAGCAGCCTCTATTCCAGAGTGGGAAACTGTCCTTTAGATGCCAGGCCAAAGCTTTACTCAGGATTTCAACTGAAGCTGTTTTTATGATCTGCTTCTAGCCTTAAGTTGCTAAGTATGGTTCTTACGGCTTGTTTTTAATATCGATAAATTTATGGTTAGTATCTTTATGATTTTATTGTATTGGTTTTACCTTGTGAGCCACCTCAAGCAGGTCTCTGGAGAGGTGCATATACATTTTTAAATAAATAAATAAGATGTGGTGAGAGCTGCTGGTTTTTAGACATTCGTGAAGGGTATCTATAAAGGGTTATCAGCTATTGACAGCCAATCAGAGCTTTCAAGTTTGGATGTAGCATGCCTTTAAATGTCAACTGTTGAAGGTAAACTGCAGGACAGCCTTGTAGTCTTCATGTCCTTCTTTGGGGCTAGGCCTCTGAGTGGCCATTCTTACACACAGGATGCTGGACTAGAATGACCTTGGGCTGGTACAGCAGAAGTCTCATTGATTAGTCTTCTGGTCAGACTCTGCAAGAAAGTATGCAGGTTTCCTGTGGCCTTGTAATTTGCTTTCTTTGTTTTTCTATCATATTTTTCGTTATTATATTTGATTTTTTGAAATGTATCTTCATCCCTGCTACTTGTCCGTATCCTTGTATTGTTTCTATTAGATGTTTCAAAGATGTTACTGGATTTTCCAATATAAATACGAGGTCATCCCCCCCCAGTTTCTGATTGCCTTTGGGATATCTGATTTATTATATTCCCCAGGGCAGTCTGGCTTCATCAGTATGATTCACCTTATCTTCCTTACTTCCACAACTTATGTTTCTACAATGGCCAAAAGTACTTACAGTTATTTGGGGTAATGAAGATAAGTACCCCAAAACACTGAGGGAAACATTAGTGCCTGATACTAGGTGGATGATAAGTGTTAAAGGCACACATGTCAGATTAGGTTAATGGTAGCAGGCATACACTTGCATCAGCCTCTGCCTCACAACGTTACTTATCCTGCAGCTAGATTAGGCACTGTCAATTTGGGGTGACTGCCATCTAACTGCCAAGTCTGATGAAGCCTCATTTTCCAATCGAATCGAAGTACCAATATTATTATCTCCTCTACTAGTCCACTATGGTCACAAATAACCCTTCCTTCAAGTACTCTAAACTGGATTCTGTTAATATATTGCAATGGCTTTTAAGAAAAACCAAGGAACATACATGCGTTTTTTAAATACAACTTTGGTTCTGCTTACCTTGGACTAAGGTATTTTGTGCAGTTGGTTGTTCCAGTAAGACCATGTGTTGAAGAAGAGGGTTGTGTGTAGTTCCCCCATCTCTTTCCACAGTTGAACTGCTCAAATAAGGTGTTAGATGGGTTCCAGGAAATAGGGAGATTCGTTGTTGTAAGGATGGGATAACAAGTCTTTCAGCATCCTGCTGTCCTGATCCCCCCTGCAAACATATAACTGGTAATACATTGAGCTTATGAATGGGGTTAGTGTAACCACAATGAAACTCAAATGTTACATTAAACATCACTTACGCTGGAAGGGGCAGTTGCTGGTAATCCTAACGTTATATTGGGCAAGGAGGGAGATGTGTACAGAGGAAGCTGTGTTATGGAGCTTTCACGATTCACTAGTCTGTGGGCCAGGTTGGTCTGAAAAGAAAATCAGAAAGGCTATCTCAGAGAACTGGATACCTTCATATATATCTACTCTATCCATATGTTGTATATAACTGTACATTACTATCAGCATGTACAGGAAGTTAAGATTAAATTAACTGAAATATGTTCAAAAACCAATAGATGCTTGATTGTTCGATTGTTATGTGGATAATGATGCTGTCTTCAGTGGTTCACATTTTCTTTCAAACAAAGCATTAAAGAAGAACAAAGTGCTAATTTTATTTATTGGGGGGGGGAGACTTGTAACTTCTCTTTCTTCCCATAAGGATCTAAAGACTACTGAACCCAACAAGAAATAGCCCATCAAGTAAGACAAAGTAAAATATCATAAAAGAGAAATGTATCAATAAATAGAAAAGAGACATTTGGGTTCCACCGGGTCAACAAGCAACTCAGATTTCATTTTGAAAGGCTTGGTTGAAAAATATATCTTATACTCCAACATTCTTATCTTAGATTGTCTATTATTTATTTATTTATTTATTTATTTATTGTTTACATTTATAACCCGCCCTCCCCGAAGGCTCAGGGCGGCTAACAACATATAATTAATAAAACAGTAAAAACAATACAAAATATTAAATTTCATCATAACTTCTAACCTATCTAAAACAAAGCTAGCTAAAACCAAGATGGCGGTCCTCTAAACGTCCCAGTCTTGCCCATGATGCAAAAAAGAGTATTTAGGGCTTTGGCAATCCATGCCCATATCCAGATGTCCTCCCAGGCGTCGATGGTATGCTGATACATTGGTGGCTGATACAATGCTGATACACTGGTGGCTGATACAATGCTGATACACTGGTGGCTGATACAATGCTGATACACTGGTGGCTGATACAATGCTGATACACTGGTGGCTGATACAATGCTGATACATTGTGGCTTACAAACCATAAGGTTTGTAAGCCACATTAAGTCCTGTATTCCGGGAGAGAGTGGCACATAAATATTTTAAATAATTAAATAAATAAATGCATCTTACAATTCCTTCTGAGCACCAAGGGGGTTGGGGGAAAAGTGAACAGTTCTGAGTAGATTTCAGTACTGGAGCTGCCACTAAAAGCACTCAAGACCAAGCAGTGGCATTCGCCACCATCCCACAAGAAATAATGACCAGCACATCCTGCTGACAGGAATTTAGGGGGCAGAAGAACAAGCCAAGCAATTGGCTGAACAACTGCAAACGGAGGGTTTACATAGAGGAACTGAAGGGAAATCTCCAAGCAACTCAAAGCAAAGTTTGAAGACTAAGAGCTTAGAAGAAGAAATCAGGACAAAATGGATAAATTAAAAATAGTATCAGTAAACATTAATGGATGGAACTCTCCCTAGAAACATACATAAACTTTTAATCAGCTTAAAAAGCAAAACTCAGATATTTTATGCCTACAAGAAACTCACAAAGAGAAGAAATATGAACATATTTAAAATAATAATTAGGTAAAGCATGTCTCGCCTCAGCTCAAAACGAAAAGTGTGAACTAGCCATTTATGTAAGTAATCCACAATTAGATGTATTAGAAGAACTAAGATATCCAGAAGGAAGATATCTAATTTTAAACATGAGATTTCCAGAAGGCAAGGTGTGCACGACAACAAGAATATATGCTACAAATAATATTAAAATTAATTTTTTAAAGAATTTTTTCCAAATTATGCTAGAATTTCAAGATGAAGATAAAATGATCTTTTGAGACATGAATGGAATATTAGAAGGATAGATCAAGAAATTTAAAGATGGGAATTTACCCAAAAATGTATTCTAATATTTGGAAATGCTGAAATTAGAAAACACCTGGCAGACCAAGCACCGAAATGTTAGAGATTTTACATTCTTTTCTGATAGACATCAAACACATTCAAGAACAGATATGTGTTGGATATCAAAAACCTTAATAAATCTAGATAAAGCAGAGATTCAACTGAAGATATTTGCAGATCATAATCCCATAGAAGTAGTTTGGCAACAGAACAAAAAATCAATAGATGATTAATGACACTCTTCCACTACAAGAAGAAGTAGTAAGCAAGTGTAAAAAAGATCTGGAAGAATTAAAAAAAAATACAGAAGAAATGTCCTCAGCTACAATTTGGGAAGCAAGCAAAGCTTTTATTAAAGGAATCCTATTAGCAGCTACTGCCAAGAAGAAAAGAGAAAAATCAGAACAAAGGTAACAGTAGAAAAATATCCCGAGATTGGAGCAAGAGCACAAAAAACCTCCTATAAAGACACGCTAGCAGAGATCAGACAATTAAAAAACCAATTAGACACATCAGAAATGGAATATGTACAGAAAAAAATTAAAATTTCTAAAACAATGGCATTTTGAACATGTGAACAAACCTGGCAGATACGTGGTGCACTGTCTTAGGTAAGAGAAAGATAAAAGAGTAATAACGTATACAGAAACAAGATCAAATTACATATGCAGAAAAAGAAATGCAAGAACAATGCTCTTTCAGGCTTATACAAAAAGAAGTCTGTCTAAGAAAAAGGAATAAGAGAATATCTAAAAAACATACTGACCACAAAGCTTATGCCAGAACACAGAAAAATTTTAAACCAATCAATAACAATTCAAGAAATCTTCCAGGGAATAAAAAATATGAAAAAGGAGGCCCAGATGGACTGATAGCAATGTATTACAAACATTTTGAAGATGTTTTAATGATACCATTATAAAATGTTATGAATGAGATAAAAGAAGGCAAGGCAATACCTCTGATGTGCCAAGAGGCATATATGTTAATACATAAAGAAGGCAGCGATGCAACACTACCACAGTCATATAGACCTATCTCACTGCTGAATGTAGATTATAAAATCTTTGCCACAATAATGGCAGCAAGACTAAGAAAATGTATACCAAATTTAATACACACTGATCGAACAGGCTTTGTAGCAGAGAGGTATATGAAAGATAATATACAATCCCTAATAGATGCAATCGAATTTGTGAACAAGAAAAAAAAGTAAGCAAAATATGGGCTATGACCCTGAATTCTGGAACTGGATGCAAGGTATACACTCAAACCAACAAGCAAAGATTTTAATAAATGCCAATAAAGTCTGACTTGACTTGACTAATAAATGGAAAATTAACAGAAGCAATTCCAATCGATAAAGGAACACAGGGATGTCCTTTGTCACCCCTACTATTTATCCCAGCAATAGAGATTAGCTACAAAGATCAGACAAGACACAAGGACCAAAGGAAGAAAACTGGATGATGTAGAATTTAAAATGAAAAGCTATGCAGACAATGTGGTTTTAACAGACTTGAATCCCCAAAAATCGTTACAGTACATAATGGAACGTATTGAAGAATTTAGATCCTTCTCAGGATACAAAATCAAAAGAAAAAAGAGGAAAATGATAACATTTTTAACGCAACAAGAAGACATTATAAAGAGCATAAAATGTACAGTAGCCACCAATCCCATTAAATATCTTGGAATAAATGTGATTCAGCAAAACTGTAATCTTTTAAAAAATAATTATCAGAAGATTTGACAATTGATACAAGCAGATTTATCCCGATGGAAAAAATTAAAAATTTCATGGCTGGGAAGAATCTCTGCAATCCAAATGAATCTATTGCCAAAACTAAATTGTTTAATTCCAAATGCTGCCTATACATATAGAAGAAAGAATACTGAAAAAGTGGCAAAGACAGATAAACAAATTTATTTGGAATGGCAGGAAACCAAGAATAAGCTTTAAAACATGACAATACGTAAAAATAGAAGAGGGTTAGCAGTTTCAAATATAAAATTGTAGTCTCAAGTAGCGGGCCTGGTTTGGATTGCGGATTGGATTAAAAACCCAAGATAAAGAATACTAAAACTTGCATCAGACCTAGATGAAGGCTTACACAAGCAGGGGGTTGGACTAGATGACTGGCAAGGTCCCTTCCAACTCTAACATTCTATGATTCTATGATTTATGGATTAAATTAAAACAATCATAACACAAGAAAGGAGTCATATAATCAGAGATGGATTTTTGAGAATATGGTTGACATGCCGGAATTTATTGAGCCCTCCATATTCTCCCCTCATGTCCCCAACAGAAGCTTATTATGGTATGAACACAAGAAATAAAAATGGCTTTTTAAAAAAACCCCGAGAGGGTATTTTTATTATTTTTTCATAAGACTATTAACTACAATGAAAAATAAAGGAAGGGGGACTACATCTAGTGTTAAAGGAAAGATACCCACACTAACTAAAATCCCAAGAGTAGGAGATCCTTTCCATGTTAATCTAAATGTTAGTAAAACAAGTGTTAGTGGTACAATATACTTGTGACATTCTTGTTTAACACATCTTCTATATTAGTAAGTTAATCTTTGTGAGAGTACTTCTTGAGCATCTTCTTTACT